CGGACAACGAGAGACAAAGTCGGAGCAACCCCCAACCCCCAGAGTCTGGGGGCGCCCCAGAGTCTGAACAGCACCTTTTTCAGATCTTATTGGGGGGCGAGCAGTGACGTCATGCGTTGCACAATTATTCAGGGAGGGAGGGAGGGGAAACAAGAAACCTGCACCAGCGTGTGCAACAATAGTGCCAGAGTGGAGCTAGAACACAAGCCACCTGAGCCAGAAAGTCTGCAAAGCTAGACAAACAAGCCCCTGAACCAAAACACCTGCAGAGCTAGAACAACGAGCCCCTTCGCAGAGCATGTCGCTCATGAACAGTGGCCCCATCCTGCCCTCAGACCTCAAGGGCTCCGCCGTAGGTTCCGTGGACTGCTGCTCGCGGATGCCCACGAGGTGCGACTGCTGGTTCTCCCGGTTGAGGAACGGCACCACGAACACCTCCACCTCCAGCGTGATCCCGGCGCTATCCTTCAGAGACACGAGGAATGCAACGCTCAGACGAGGCGGTTCGCCGCTGGGCTGCCCCGCGGCCGTGGCTACCCGCATCTGTTCGTCGAACTTGGCGCAATCCTCGGCGGACGCCAGGAAACTGCGCAAGTCCTCCTGCCGGAGGGACCGGCGCTGGTTGAGAAACAGCACGTTGCGCAGTTCTGGCGAATCCACCCTGAGCCGTAACGCGTCGTCCACCACCACGACATCGTCGCAAACGCTCCGCAGCACGGAATGGGCAGCGGCTAGCTCGTTGCGCGAGGACCGCGCCTCAAGCTCCAGCTGCATCATCTGATGCAACAGCTTGTCGACAGAAAACAAGATCAGCACAAAGACGACGGAGATTGTCCAGAGTTGCAGCGACCCTATCAGAGGACCTGCCCGAGCGCAACCGTCACCGTTGCGCTCACTACCAGAAAAAGAGAGGCAAGCTATCACGTTGATGACGAATATCCAGATCGCATTTAGCCATGGTTTCAAAAACGGTGCTACAACCAAGAGCGATGACCCATTGGCGTGCACCAACATCGTGTCAGCAGAAACGGCGATAGGCCATACCGTTGCGCTCAGGACAGCCATCATCGTCGAGTATATCCAGTCGGCAGGGTCTCGCGTGAGGACGGTCGGAGAGACGTACAGAAACATCACAAGCATGGCGTTTACGAGTGCGCTGCAAGTTCTGCACAAACGACATGGGCAAGGTGCCCCCCCACCACATGGCCGCGATGACGACCACGCCCGCGCAATGCGAGTAGGGCAGCAATGCCTTGGTCAAGGCGACCTTTCTCCTTTGAAGCTCCTGCGCCGCATGCTGCACATCGGAGTTCACGCCCTCGTCCCAGCCAGGCTCGAGAGTTCCTCGAGCCCGCCTCAACGGCACCACCATGCGCTGCAGCAGCCACTGCCCCGGCCCGCTTGACCACGCGGACAGCCCGTCCCACCAGAGCAGCAAGCAAGCGCCGAGGAATATGTAAGCGCAGCCAGCCACGAAAAGGGCACGCTCCACGTCCCCCCCCGGGGAAAACAATTCCATGCTCGGTCGCGGCGGGCGCTCCTGCGTCTCAGCGCGCTCCACTGGGCACCGCGCCGATGCGGGCGCTCGGCGATGCAGCGAGTTGCTGCGAAGCTTGAGCTAGAATGGCTGTGGAAGGGAGATGGAGCTCATTGAGAGGTCTGTCTTAGAGTCGCGAGGGCCCTGACTTTGGAGGGCAGCTTGGGACGCAGGGCCGCCTGAGCACTGTTCGGGCGAGCACGGGCCATGTTGCGGATTCTCCAAGTGGTTTTGGAAACGCCTGGAGCCAGATAAGACATCGTTCGGCAATGTTGAGGGCTTCTGGAAGCCGTCTGGAAGCCTCATGGGGGGCTGCGGCCGCCTTGGGCCAATATGGAGGACTTCTTGGATTGTCTTACGGGCTCGCAAGACCGCGAAGGCAACCCTGACTGGATCGAACAGACGCTATTGATTTGAGAATGAGTTTCGCCTCCCCCCACCCTGGAACCATTTCCAGCCCCTTGGGGGAATGTTGGGAAGCTCTTGCGGACTTTGGAGCTTCTTAAAGCTTCTTGGTGACCTCTTCGGCCGTCTTGGAAGGCCTTCAGACCGACAGAGCGAATGCGAACATTTTCAGATCGAGCGAGGTCATAACGGTTTGGGGCGGGTTCGACCACTCAATGGTAGCCTTTCAAGAAGCTTATCTCCTGAGTGAGTCCTCCAATCGGAGACCCCATTAAACGTGCTGCATCAGGATACGACCTTAGTTGTGAGCGAGCAGTGACGGCATGCGTTGCACCATTATTCTGGGGGGGTAGGGAAAAATACAACCTGCAGAGCTACGAAAAGAAGCCGATGGATCCAGAACGTCACCAGCGTGTGCAACATCAGTGCCAGAGCTGAGCTAGGAAACAAGCCACCTGAGCCAGAAAGTCTGCAGAACTAGACAACAAAAGCCCCCTAAACCAAGACACCTGCAGAGCTGGAACAACGAGCCGGTGGCACGCTCGCAACTGCATGCCCGCACGAACTCAAAAGCGGGGTTGGCATGTAAAGAATCAGCGCCGGGAAACGCAGAGCAATGAACGGAGCGTAATGCGTTGCCACGGCTGCACAGAGCAAGACATCGCCATGCGAACCCCAAACAATGGGAATTAAAAAGCAGCGCGAAGCATTGCCAGGACCAAGCACAGCACACGAAACAACGCACATCAAACCAACGCTGGTTTAAGTAGAACTATGCGCTGGGCTAGACGTGTATCATCAAGTGTGCTTGTGTGTGTGTGTGTGCAAATGCATGTGTGTATGTATGAATGCATTCATGTATGTATGTACGTGTGCATGCATGTTTGTGTATATGCATGTGTCTGTATACATGTATACAGATACAAGACTGCAGTGGCGCTTCGCGCCATGCACCTTGGTCCTTGAAATTTGGTATGCAGGCGAAACGGCAGGAAGGCCAAGCCGACAATTTAGCGATAACTCCTTGTTGCCTTTTCCGTGATCGCCGTTATGATAATGTTATTCGTGATCCTTTCTCCATGCTTTTTTTCCTCCTCATTCTCGCCATACCCTGCGCATTCTCCCCATCCTCCTCAGCTCTCTTTGCGCAGGCTCCTCCTTGGAGAGCCCTTGGGGGCCTCACAATAATTTTCCAGGCTTGCCTGATGCCTTCTGGAGGCCTCCTGGGCGTGTTCTGGGGGCCTCTGGCGGGCCACCCTGCCTCCAACCGCGGCCTCCCTGAACGACCGTGTCACGATCTGGAAAGCTTCGGAGGGCGTCTTGGGGCCTATCTTGGGCCGCAATGGGGCTCTCTTAGGGCCAGCTTGGACCCCTGCTGTGCTGTTCGGGGGCTCGGGAGCCTCCCAGGCGGCTTCGGACGCCCAGAAGACCGCTGTCCTGGAGCGTCGGGAAGCCGAAAAGAGGATAACCCCAGAATTACCAAAAATCAGCAGAAGAATCAATGATGTTTGCCTCTTGGGGCCTTCTTGAGAGTGCTCTTGGAGGCCTCTTGGGACGTTTTGGAGCACCCTCCCTCGCACCATCCGCAGCACACCCGGGCACCCCCTTTCATCCACGACATCCCCCCAGCAGCATGCGCAGCTCGACGGGGCGCATTCTTCCGCAGGTGGTGCATGACCGATCGGCTGAACGAGGAAGGAAGGGGGAGGAGGGAAGAGCTGGAATCGGAAGACGAGAAAGCTAAGGTGGATGAGCGCCAAGGTGGATGAGCGTGATCATGGCGCCGCCTTTAGCAAAATATGGGCAACGAACTCACAAGGCCGTACAGTCAGTCTACATGATTTGTGTCTATTCCTCGCCTTAAAAACTCCACGCCCTACGCCCTGTACCCGAGACCATAGAACGCAAGGCCATAGGCCCTAATCGTCAGATTATCCAGGAATATTGGGACAGCAGCGGAGACCTAAAGAAGGCGGGTTGGGGCGTCCGGGCGCGGGGATGGTCTCAAGACGCCGGGGTTCTGGCGGAGCTCGCCTCTCGCGCGGGGCCCACGCCGACTGTCGCTGCGCCAGCTAATGTTGCCGAGGCTCATGCGAACCACCTCCTTCATGTCTTGCGGCGTTGGGCTGGGGTCGGGGCACCAATCCAGCTCCAGGGACGCACAAAGGCAGAGGTTCAGGTGGTACGTGTACGCCGAGCGCAAGAAGATGGGCTCCTCAAAGGTGGCGGGAGAGGCCCTATCCTGTCGATGGAAATGCACAGTCTGGGCGAAGTCGATGAGCCTTTCCCACTGATCGTGTCTTACAAGATAAAGGAAGTCGACCTCCTCCTTTCTGAGCCTCATCTGCGTTTGAAACGCATCGGTGACACTCGTCATCTTCCATCCTGGGCTGAGCAGATCTACCCAGGCGCTGACCTTGGAATCCTCGAGAGCCACAGCGGACGAGGACGAGGACGAGCGGACGAGCTCGTCTGCAACACCCCTCTCGTCTGCCCCTTCGCAGAGCATGCCGCTCGTGAACAGTGGCCCCATCCTGCCATTAGACCCCAAAGGCTTCGCCGTACGTTCCGTGGACTGCTGCTCGCGGATGCCCACGAGGTGCGACTTCTGGTTCTCCCGGTTGAGGAACCGCACCACGAACACCTCCACCTCCAGCGTGATCCCAGCGCTATCCTTCAGAAACACGTGGAATGCAACGCTCAGACGAGGCGGTTTGCCGCTGGGCTGCCCCGCGGCCGTGGCTACCCACATCTGTTCGTCGAACTTGGCGCAGTCCTCGGCGGACGCCAGGAAACTGCGCAAGTCCTCCTGTCGGAGGGACCGGCGCTGGTTGAGAAACAGCAGATTGCGCAATTCTGGCGAATCCTCCCTGAGCCGTAGCGCGTCGTCCACCACCACGACAACGTCGCAAACGCTCCGCAGCACGGACTGGGCAGCGGCTAGCTCGTTGCGCGAGGACTGCGCCTCAAGCTCCAGCTGTGTCATCTGATGCAGCAGCTTGTCGACAGCAAACAAGCACAGCACAGTGACGACGGAGATTGTTAAGAGTTGCAGCGACCCTCTCAGAGGATCTGCCCGAGCGCAACCGTCATCGCTTCGCTCACGACCAGCAAAAGAGAGGCAAGCTATCATGTTGATGGCGAATATCCAGATCGCATTTAGCCATGGTTTCAAAAAAGCGATGCTACAACCAAGAGCGATGACCCATGTGCCATTGGCGTGCACCAAGATCGTGTCAGCAGAAACGGCGATAGGCCATACCGTGGCGCTCAGGACAGCCATCATCACCGAGTATATCCAGTCGGCAGAGCCTCGCGTGAGGACGGTCGGAAAGACGTACATAAACATCACAATCATGGCGTTTACGAGTGCGCTGCAGCTCTGCGCAAACGACATGGGCAAGGTGCCCCCCCACCACATGGCCGCGATGACGACCACGCCCGCGCAATGCGCGTAGGGCAGCAATGCCTTGGTCAAGGCGACCTTTCTCTTTTGAAGCTCCTGCGCCGCATGCTGCATATCGGAGTTCACGCCCTCGTCCCAGCCAGGCTCGATCGTTCCTCGAGCCCGCCTCAACGGCACCACCATGCGCTGCAGCAGCCACTGCCCCGGCCCGCTTGACCACGCGGACCGCCCGTCCCACCAGAGCAGCAAGCAAGCGCCGAGGAACAGGTAAGCGCAGCCAGCCACGAAAAGGACACGCTCCACATCCCCCCCCGGGGAAAACAATTCCATGCTCGGTCGCAGCGGGCGCTCCTGCGTCTCAGCGCGCTCCACTGGGCACCGCGCCGATGCGGGCGCTCGGCGATGCAGCGAACTGATGCGAAGTTTGAGCCATAATGGCTGTGGAAGGGAGATGGAGCTCATTGAGAGGTCTGTCTTAGAGTCGCGAGGGCCCTGACTTTGGAGGGCAGCTTGGGGCGCAGGGCCGCCTGAGCCCTGTTCGGGCGAGCGCGGGCCATGTTGCGGACTCCCCAAGTGGTTTTGGAAACGCCTGGAGCCAGATAAGACATCGCGCGGCAATGTTGAAGGCTTCTGGAAGCCGTCTGGCAGCCTCATGGGGGGCTGCGGCCGCCTTGGGCCAGTATGGCGGACCTCTTGGATTGTCTTACGGGCTCGAAAGACCGCGAAGGCAACCCTGACTGGATCGAACAGACGCCATTGACTTGAGGATGAGGTTGACCTCCTCGGATCCTATTGGGAATATTTTTGGGGTGGCTTTCGGACCTCTTCGGGGTCTGCTGAAGGCAGCTCGGAGCTCTCTTCGGGCTCTTCAGAGCCTTCTTACCCCCTCCCCCCCTGGAACCATTTCCAGCCCCATGGGGGAATGTTGGGAAGCTCTTGCAGACTTTGGAACACCTTAAACCTTCTTGGTGGCCTCTTCGGCCGTCTTGGAAGGCCGTCAGACCGACCGTGCGAATGCAAACATGTTCACATCGAGCGAAGTCATAACGGTTTGGGGCGGGTTCGACCACTCAATGGTAGCCTTTCAAGAAGTTTATCTCCTGAGTGAGTCCTCCAATCGGAGACCCCATTAAACGTGCTGCATCAGGATACCTTTATTGGGGGGGCGAGCAGTGACGCCATGCGTTGCACAATTATTCAGGGGGAGGGGAAACAAGAAACCTGCAGAGCTACGGAAAGAAGCCGATGGAGCCAGAACGTCACCAGCGTGTGCAACAATAGTACCAGAGCGGAGCTAGAACACAAGCCACCTGAGCCAGAAAGTCTGCAGAGCTAGACAAACAA